CCTGAAGAAATCAGCACACCTTCTTTTCGGGTTACCTACACCGAATGGAATCTGACCAAATTGCTGGGTTAAGCAGCAGTTTCCCTTTTCTGTTTTCAAGAGTTTCACTGAAATATAATCTACACAACATACAGATCACCCACTTAAAGTGTACATTTCAATGGCATTTAGTATGTTTTTACTCAATTAGTGCCATCACTCCAATCTAATTTTAGAACATTTTCATCACCCAAGCAATTTACCTTTTAAAGGATGGTTTAAATGGTTTGTGATATACATACATACCCAAATAGTCACAATCTAAAGTAAAAACAAAAACGTATTTTTAAATGAATATTAACATTCTCAGTGTGAAATGGCCTATCTGCTGAGAGGTGTGCATTTTGATGACATAAGAAAGACATCGTCTCCATTTCTAACCTCATCTTGGAAGGTCCAACTATATGACTTAGGCTACTTCTCAGAAGTGATTCTGCAAAATGCAAAAGGAATAATTTGCCCTGCCCTTTAATCTAATTATTTTCCTTATTTTTTTTCTTACAGAATAATTTATGACCATATCAAAAGCTATTTACTCTCTTCTGTACCAAGCTCACCTCCACCTCCAGCTTTCTGTCCAGTGGCCCGTATGTTCGAGTATTTGCCTGTAGTAAATATCTATAACTACTCTCTCTGAGCAGCTCAAAAAAAAAAAAAATGCATTACAAGAAGCAATAGAAGGATGGAACACTTTCCATTAATTAGGTCCCAGCCAAATTAACTTTAAATCAGTAATTCTGAGAGAAGAGCTGTTTTTTTAAGCTTAACTAGCTTGACTAAATATGCTTCATAATTTTTCCTCTTGATCTTCAGTTTAATTCACAGGACAAGAGTTTCAAGAATTTCTTATGTATGGGACTTTATAGAGAAGCAAGCGAGGTCATTAACATGGTATGAAGAAACCTGGTTTATCAACCACCAAAATTTTGATAATCTGTAGGTAAAATAAAAAAGCATTTTTGCACACCACCTCATAGAACTGCTCAATAACAATGTTGGCTATATGTTTTTGAAATAATGATATAATAACAGCTAACATTTATTAAAAACCTATTATGTGCCATCTGCTGATTTGTTTTACATTAACTCATTCAATGCTCACAAAACCCAAGAGTAGGCCGTCTCCTATAAAATTGTCATGATTATCATCATCACCATCACTCACATTTTAAAGACAGAGAAATTGAGGTAAAGAGCATGGTGTATCATGCTCCAGATTACAGATGACAGCCAGAACTTAAAACCAGACTCTGGCTTTAGAGCTCACTCTCTTAACCATTACCCCACAATGCCCATCAGGGAATACATAAGGTAAGAATTGTTACCCTAGTGCCGAGATGCCAGCCTATTCTCTAATGCCAATGGATACAGTGATACAATACCAAAGAGGGGGGAAAACTAATCGCTTTCCTATAGGATAGGAATACAGTGAGTAGACAGGGACTAAGGAATGTTCCTTACAATAAGGGAGGAAAATGAGGGATCGTTCACCATCTGAGACAGAAAAATGCAAAAAGCAACAGAAAATGGATGAGTTAAGCCATTTGAGGAATTAAACTATCAAAAGTTGTGCTTCTAATGCAGATCCAATAAGCATTCAGGTCAAATTACAGTTGTCAAAGTGTAAACTCAAGTCCAGAATGCAACAGTAAGCCGCAAGTGATTTCATTAGAGTGAAACCAGTTTGATGAAAGAAGGTGTTAAAAGCAGGTTTGTAGCCCGCACCTAGGTTAAAAAATTAAAAAAAATTTAAAAAGACTAGTGAATAGAAAACTAAAGCTACCCGTGAAATAAAACTACCAAAACTCTTGGTAAAATTCAGCCAAAAAAAATACCTCAGAAAAACGCTAATATAAATTTACTTTTAATTTGCATGCATGTTATCACAGAATTGACCTCAATCAGACCACTGCCTAAGCCAAAATTTGACCTCAGTCAGACTACAGCTTAAACCAGAATGAACCTCAATCGGACTACCACCTAAGCCAGAAAACTGGTTGGCCTGACATGAGGAAGAACTACTGTTTGTGCTCGAACAGAAGTCACACTGAGACCATGGCTCTACCAGGTGTACACACATTCAAGAAACAACAAGCAAAATCATTTCAAGCACTCAAGACACAGGGATGAAAAGAAATAAGATCCATGCATATATTCAGCCTTTTAAAATAATGGTGGGGATCTGTGGGGCATTTTAAATTGGCAATGGCAAAGACTACAATTTTCTGCTAAAGGGATATTATCACAATTTTTCAACCTGGGTTTGAACCAAGGCTCATAAGAGCTCTCCTACTTAATGCAACATCACACCCAGCACTTTACTATGACTTCCACACAGCAGATGATAATCCTGACTCCTTGGCTCTTTGGAGTTAATCATTTCAAAAGGCAATGAGCAGAACACATTAAATTAGCACTGTAAACTAGAGTGGCTTCTTTCATTTCCCCACCCCCACACAGTCCTCTTTCTCAAATGGGCAAACGCATTTTTAAAATATTATTTCATAGTTCTCAAATGGCTCTGACAAGCTACTATTAAGTTTTGAAATAGAACTCCTGATTCCTTGTATAAATGCAAAATAGAGTTAGGTAAAAGGAAAAACAAATATGGCTACATGGGATAATCAAAGCATAGAGTAACAAACCAGTGACCCTGGTAGTGGAAGTTTCAACAATACTATATTTATATGATGATGAAAAAATCTAATTCTTCTTCAGGGCTACTTAGGGTGTCTGGGTTTTTTTCAGTGTTTGATGAAAAGGTAGCAGCATAATTTAGCAGGTTATAATCTAGATCCTATTTTCCCAGTTGTTCCTTAAACATCCTTAAGTGACTAAAATCACATCCCCAACTACACCATGTGTTTTCATGTACCATGAATATCCTCCAATAGATTGATAAGGGATGTTCTTTCTTCTTTCAAAATGTACCTTAAAAAATATGGCCAATTTTTCCTCTCACCAAAAACTCTCAGGTTACACATCCTATTCAACAATGCCAAATGAATCTGCTGAAGGGAGAACATACTAAAGCAAGGCTGAGTAGACCTGGACAAAACTAAACAAATTAATCTGGCAAAGTCTGTCCCCTTTCTTCAGTTGCCACGGGAAGAGTGAGAGAGAATGGATTCTGTTTCAGCTTACATCTTGAGGTTGAAAGCTGATATATAAATATATAACCCGGTAAACTTCTTAAGGAAAAGTTGCTAATGTGGCCTCTGTTTTCCCTTTTGGAAGGCTGCTATAGAGGAAGTGTGGTGAAGGGGGATGGAGAGGGAGAAGGGGAGGAGCAGGAGGGAAAGGAGTAGGTGATGATCATCTGTAGTGTAGATTGTTTTTTAAAACAATTTTAAGAGTACTTGACATCTGTCTGCCACATTCCACCAGAGATTTAAACAAAAGTAAAGCTGCTCAGTAGAACATTTCTACTTATCCGGAAGGATAACTTCATGGATGTATGACAATTATATCTGGTAACTTTAAGGAAATCTCTAACTGCGATCTGAAATTAAAGTGGATTCCCAGGGTGCTGAAAGGCTTTTGCCAAAAATTAACAACTGTAAAACAACATACTTCTTTCATTCTAGCCAAAACAGAAAAATAAAGCCATATGCCTGATTTCTTTAATAAACTAAATTTAGATTACAACTTTAAAATAGATTTTGACATATATGGCTTTAAAATAACAAGAGCATCTTTCACTTGGGTCTTTTCCCAGTTAATTATTTGCTGGCATCGTCCTAGACATTCCTTGGCGTCACCTTAAACCAACACTCTCGAGTGCTAATTAGGAGACTATATACATTATTAACAAGAGAATGTGCTTAATACATGCATGTCCCATATGTATCCTGTTATTAATGTGATTCCTTTCACTCCTAGAAAACTCTCTTTAGAAAACAGAGCCCCTGTTTAAACAAAGAAATTGACGGCTATTGAAGAAATTTTTGTCAGAATTCAATTAATATGTAGGGGCCAACATGACACAGGATCCTTGTCTTTGAAACATCCTCAGCATGAATCAAATTTAATCTTACTGAAATAGTCAGCAGAGGGAAAAGTTAATGACTGCAGATGTTATACATTTTCATAGTACTAGGGGACTCCCAAAGAGAATGGCCAACTCGCTCAGGAGCTACACCACTGCGAAGAAACCAACCATGTCAGAGAGCCCAAGCCAGAGACAAGCGTTTCTCCAGTCCTATCTCTTCCAAAAGGCCATGGGCCAGATGGGAAAAGAAACATATGTAAACAAGGTAGACCTAATGATTTCCTAATTATGAAGGAGATACGATCTTCTCATTAATTGGCAAGCTAATCGACCCCAATCTCAGTTTCATAAATTGAGTCCAATAAAACAAACTTCGGTGTCTGTACTCCACAGAATTCTCCTCACACTTCCACGCCCTTCACCCCGCCACAAAGTTGTCAGTTCTGCTTGATTTGTTTGAATACTGTACTCGACGACAGCTGTCGGAAACAGTACATTAGAACAGCTGGTATGACAGCTACAAGGGGCTTGGAAGTTTAATTGGGCTCAATGTGACATTGTGCATTTTTCTAGACATAGAAATATCCGCAAAACGAAAGACATTTCTAATGGGTCTGAATGGTGTTTACTTATTGGCACCACCAACTGGTTAACCCCAGTTTGAGTTATATCATCGGTCTCATAGTATCTTTGCCACTGGGCTGGTAAGACTATCAAAAAAAAAAAAAAAAAGACAAAACAGTAGGGGCAGTGAGATGCACAAGAAAAGGAGCATTAAGAGCGAGAGGAAGTGGTAAGGAAGTCACGTCAATAATCTCTTTCAAAGGCTGGCCGGTAGCCAAGGAGGATCCCACAGTGTCTCAGGATTTACTTCCAAAGGAAACGTATTCAGAGGCCCTGAGTCTGGTGCCACTGCAAACAAAACCACTCATTCTGGTCTCAGCCCCGCAGAGAAGGGAGAACGGCTTACTGTCGGCGTCCGCGCGTAGGAAGAGAGCGAGGAGCAGCAACAGCGGCCTGGCGACGTGCACGTGCACCATCCTGCAGCTCGGCAGCAGCGAGCACTGGCAGTTTGGGGTCACCGCCTCTGAAGCGGCAGCGAGTCCGTCCGCTCTGGAATTTCAGCTGGAACTCTTTCAGAGCCTGCAAGGGCAGAGGAAGGGAAACAAAGGAAAGAAAACACAAAAACACTTAGGTTTCTTACTCTTTTCCCCTTGTTCCATCACCACCACCACCACCACGGGAGACATAATCCATTGTAGAGACACAAGAAACTGTAACCGGGATGCCTTTGTATGAGAAGGGCAGTAACTTGGTTTGTGAAATGGGGCGGCCGGAGCACATCTTGTTCCCATTGTCAGGCTCTCCTAAAGCCAACCACCTTGAATTCCACTCTCTGCTCATGCCACCTTTTGGGCAGCGCGCTGTGAGAAGCAACTGTCACTTCTCATGAAACACTACGTGAATACATTGGTGGAAGAAAGCAGAGCAACGCTATGAGAAAGATTTAAGAGAACCTTAAATCTTGCCGGATAAAAGTCTATTATTGACAGAATAATGGAAGCTGCTTTCTTGGCATGAAGGGAAGTGACAGGGCTAATTCAACTTCTCCAGCTAAATAGGAGAGGTTACGATTTTTTACACTAGCACATTTGGCTTCTTCCCTGAAGACACATCAACGTTCAAGTCTAGTTTGGCTTCAATAAGTCAAAACAATAGTTACCATGAGCCTATTTGACTTAACAGAATTTTTATATGTCTCCTGGGCAATAGCTTAGTTTTCTCAATCTCCTATGTAAAATCAATAAGCCACAAACTATTTTTAGAGAGCCTACTGCGTGCAAATGCACTTAGTATAAAGTGCCATGAAGGACAAAAATGAGTCAGATTCTATCCTCTGTGACTTTCCAGTTTAGTAGGGAAAATAAAACAGACACATCAGATGACTAGTATAAGTTAGTAAGTGATAAGTGCCAGGAAGGAAAACCAAATAATGCCATAAAAGATAGGATCAGGAATGGTATCCTAGATAAAGCGGTATCTCAAAGTGAGCCTGGGAGTACAGGCAGGATTTAACCAAGAAGAGGGAAAAGCATTCCAGGAATTCTGTACAAAGGCAGGGTGGTGAGAAAGGAACTTTGGAAAAGATGAGTGTCCAGGTTTGGCTGGAGTAGGGCTTCCCAAACTTCCATATGCATCAGAATCACCCGGAAGGCTTGTTAAAACAGATAGCTGGGTGAAAAAAAAATATAAAAGACAAAAAAAAAAAACAAAAAAAAACCAGATAGCTGGGCACCGCCCGCCTTCCCCCCCACCCCATGTGTGGTCCACTAGGTCTGTGATGGGAGTCTAACAAGTTCCTGAGTGATGCTGATGCACCTGGTGCAGGGACCACATTGAGACTGCTGGGTTGGAGTGATGACTTCATTAGGAAAGCAGAAGAAAACAAGGCAAAACAAAATGGTTCAGGCTAGAAAAGAAAACAAAACAAAAGAAAACAAAGAAAAAAAAGACAAGGAAAGAAAAGAAAAGAGAAAAGAAAAGGTCATGGTGAGCTCTGAATGCCAATGTAAGTCAAGCAGGCCCTCCACAGCAAACCGCAAATAAAGCTACTTAGCGTTTCTGAGCAGAAGCAAGGAAATGGGCTTTGAGAAGATGAGCTGACACGTAAATGCAGCACTATTAGGCCAGAGCAAGAGTCCTAGGTGAAAAGTAACACACACCACAGGGTGATGGTGGGAGCTGAAAAGAAGGGAAGCCATGACTGACGCTGCAAGCACTAATTTGAAGTATGACTCTTCAGGTGATAAATAGTTGTTCCTATAGGAAGCTTCAACAAATCTAGCACAGCATCTTACACAGAGTAGCCTCTGAATATATATAGACTGCACTGAATTCTATTGCTTCCTCTATCATGGTGAAAACTTGAGCATGACAATCAGAATTCCTGTGCCAAATGAAAGAGTATACCTTTAAGATTTGTATATCAGAATATTTGAAACACGTACAAAATTCTTTTTTTTTAAAAATATTTTATTTATTTATTTGAGAGAGAGAGGAGCATGGGAGGGGGGAGGGTCAGAGGGAGAAGCAGACTCCCCGCCGAGCAGGGAGCCCGATGTGGGACTCGATCCCAGGACTCCAGGATCACAACCTGAGCCGAAGGCAGTCGCTTAACCAACTGAGCCACCCAGGCGCCCACGTACAAAATTCTTGACAGGAAATATTAGAGATATCCAGAAATAACCTAATCCGCTAAAATAACTTGTACTTGAAAAAGTATTGTAGAGCAGATACCATAGTCTGTCTTTTCTGAAACTGAGCTTGAGCCTGGGAATAAAATTTTTTTAAAGATCTTGTCTTTTTCATTACTATGCTTGTGTCCTTTGAATGCAGGAAAAATAAGACTAAATGCAAAGGTGGGGGATCATTGTAATTACCCATCCACTCCCTAGCCCTTTTTATTTTTAACCGATTGGCGGGTGGCATGAAGCAGCAAGTTAGACATTGGAACACATCCACTTGAAACCAAAAGCTAGCCAGCTGCCCCAAATTTGCTATTGTTCTCAATCTCACTGGGAAAATAACTTATCAGGCAGTTCACAGCTATCAAAAGCTAAAATTCTCAAAACTTCATAGGAAAAGTGCTAAAGGAATCAGCTCTGCTCCCCTCCCCCTTTCACTGTTCCTGTCCTCATGCCAGCATTTCAAATGACAGCAAAGTCCAGGAGACATCAGTCCTGTCGGACTCAATTTGTGTCTGTGCAAGCGTATCAGAGCCAACTGCTCCATGATGACTCGGTGCGATCACGGAGATGGAGACGCATGAAATGCTCTCTCAGGGAAGAAGTGATTTGGCTTTTTCCTCTACCCAACTAAAGTGGCATAAGAAGACCAAATTCTTCCAAATGAACCTACAAATGTTACCTCTGGACTTAAAACCGTAATACGATCTAGGAATGAATGCAGCTAGAGAACATACATATTTATCCTAAAATGGGCTATATATGTCCTTGGCCCGGATATGACAAAAGGAGATCAGAGGTGTGAAGATAAGACCTATTCTAGATGTTCATTCCAGCTAATCTCCACTCCATATCTTGTTTACTTGGCAACATTGCCAAAAGGGAAATGCTGGCTTGCGTATCAGTAATGTGGAGTTTAAATTTTAGAACAAAAATGGGAAATGGATTTTTAAGGAAACACTGACAGCGAAAATAATGAGGATGAGCAAATATTACAAGCAGTTTCTATTAGCCTAGAGAAAGGGTTGCCAAGCACTTTGCAATGAAAAGAGCAGGAAAGGGGGTTCAGAGATATTAAAAGTACCATGGTTTAGCTTATATCACAAATGATTCTGCATGTGTCCAATAGCCCCCTATTGGATTTTGATATGCCTTGCCCTCTGTGTCTTTCCTTAACTGGGACATGCATATAAAACTGAACCACGTAGCTAAGTTTAAAATGAAACAGAAAAAAAAATATATTTATTATTGCTCAGGGGACAAAGATCTTAAGGAACAATAATTTTGTTGTGATTTTCGATTAGCTGAATATTTACTTTTGGATTTCTGTACGTGCATGGCTACAGAAGCTGATAGTTCAGAGGGCCAGGGTGCACAACGTGATTGGAAATGGGATAACAAAGAGTGCACTTGCCTAAAAGCCTTCACAGGTCACTGTTTCCAGGGATCACATAAACTGCATGGACTCAACTCTTTATCTTCAATTTAACATTGTAACCCTTTCCTGTAACAAGTACCTTCATATTCAAACTAATATGAATCTGAAGGATTTTTTTTTCAGCTTTCTGTATTGTGGTATGTGTTCCTACAGACTGTGTTAACATAACAGAAAAAAAGGCAAAACGGAACTTTTCTTTCTTTAAAAATAGGACCCTCGGTCCCTCAGCAAAGTGAATGATTGTAGGTTTTATGCAGGAAATATGCAAAATGAGTGTGCAACATCTTGTGATATGAGGAAGTGGCGAGACTTTCAGGAACTACTAGGTTATATCCAAAAACAAGGAGCCAAGGTGATGAGGCCCCATCAACTAAACATAGGAAAATCTGGCAACAAGGGCAACAGTAGCTACAATTCACTGAAACACATCCTACTAAAATCCATGGGTTCAAAAGTTTAAAAATAATTTTCAAAAATTACATCGTTCACTCTAGAGGGAGTTAAAGAATCAAATCATTATTCCGAAAAGAGGGAGAGAAAAGGAAAGAGATTAAACAAAATCTACGTAGAACTTAAAACAAAACAAAACAAAAACCTGCTGTCACTAGAAAACTAGATACCACTGTTTATCTCATTGTTTATCAGGTTGCTTCTTTCGGGCTTATCTAACAACACCCTGCTCTCAATTCTAGACATCTTAGATGTCTATGATACTTAACTGACCATTTACCCATAAAGATAGCCATTAAGTTGGGGGGATGGTGTGCTAAAGGAGGAAATCCCAAAATGTTGTGACTTCTTTTTATCCACCTCCCAAACCGGTCCGGTCTCTCTCAATCGACTAGGGCAGGTTTCCAATCATTTAAGAGAAACAACCATTTGTGCACAAGATATGCTACCAGGAAACTCCAATTTGTAAAACAGACATTAGCAGTGCTGCTGTGGCTGAAGCAAGGGGTGGAGAGGCCTGGAGTTTAGAGCAAGCTGGCGGAGGCTTCTGAGGGCCATCTGTGAACTCCCTGCCCTCAGCGCACAGTGACAACACAAGGACATGAAAGGAAAAAACAAAAATAAATTTTCAACATTTCACTTATTCATGAGAATTTTCCACCAGGAGATAGCCGCCTAAATATTTTATCATGAGCTAAGACAAGAATTCTCCAGCACTATCCAATAAAACTTTCTGCAGAATAGAAGTGTTCTTTATCTGCACTAATACTTGGAAAATTTAAACATACCTAGTGGAACAGGAGAAGTAAATATTTTATTGTATTTAAATTTCAGTTTAAATAACCACATGTGGCCAGTGGCTGCCCTTTTGAACAGCACAGACTATGGTTACATATTTCAACAGCATTGAACACAATAGCTATAAACAAGGCATAGGTTTTCAGGGTTGGAGACGGAATCAGTGAGTTGGGAACCCTTAGTCCTTGCAGTCCTGGCTTCCTCATAATCAG